GGTGGGGCACCAAGCCCACCATCAGCAAGGGGAGGCCTTGAAGACAGGGACAGGAAGGGTTATTTGGTATCTATTCTTCCCCTGCATACTACCATGCTACATTTGGTGTTCCAAAATATAACCCTAAGACAATATAAGATCTGGACAATCAAAGAATCATCAAAGCCATTTTGACAGTTTTTGTGAAAACACATTTTAGAAAGAGACTTTAAACAAGTGTTGAAACAAACAAAACGCTTTCTGCTTAAGTTTGAACGTTTTCCTACTTGAGAGTTTTGTGAACTTGACTTCCTTGTTACACAATGCCAAGAACACATACTCTTTTGGGGGTTGGGAGGTGGGAAGAAAAGGATGACAATAAAAAAGAGGGAATAAAACATAATGTTGTGAGGAACGTGGGTGCCTCAGTCGATTAAGTGTCTGACTCTTGATTTCAGTTCAGGTCCTGATCCCAGGGTCTTGTGTTTGAGCCTCGTGTGCAGAGGCTGCCTGGGATTCTCTCTCTCTACCTCTATCTCTGCGCCTCCCCCACTCGTGCATGTGTGCTCTCTTTCTCTCAAAATAAAAAAAAAAAAAAAAACATAATGTTGCATTTCCTTATGTTTATTAGAAAATCATTCTCTTTATAGAGTAAATTTTCTAGGTAACAGAAGACTGTTCTGTAAGTACTTAGCAGAGGCTGCTGGTTATTCCCAAATATCCACGCTCCCTTCTTTCTTTATTAATGCAATCTCTGAATTTTAGCCAGCCACCTGATCACCCCATACTGCTTTGCCCCACCTCCCTTGGAGTTAAGTGAGGCCAAGTGACTAGGTTCTGGCCAGCAGCATGCAAGTGTAAGGCGTGTGTTCAGTCTTGAACATTGAGTCCTTAAAGGGGAAAGACATGCCTCCACTAGCTCTGCCTCCATCTGGCTGGCTAGACTAGCAGGAAAGAGGGAACTGGAGGAGCCATTTTATAGCGTGAGGTAGGGACTTTGTGTTAAGAGGAGCAGAGTGACAACAGAGCAGGAGCCTGGGTCCCCAACACCCTGGAGGCAACATGTCACCTTCAGATGGGCTTCCCAGATTTTTAACATAAGAAAGAAGTTAGCTTCCTCTTCTTTAGGCCACTGTTGCTTCCCCTTTGTCACAGCAGCTGGATTTATATTCTCAACGATACAATTACCAACATTTCAGAACATGTTAACCATTTGTCTTTAATATTTTACAGAGTATCTTCTTTCTAAACATGCTACACGTTTCTAAGCTCATTAAACAGAGCAGACAGGACATAATTTGGAAAGAGTAAATGGGAAAGCATAATTACTGTTCGGAACAATAATGCAAAGAGATTGCCAAGGTCTAGAGGACTTCTGGCCCAACAGTAGGCAGCCTCAGGCTGTGGGACTTGGTTCACTCATACCTAATTCCTGCAGTTTTTCTAGCTCCCTCACTATCAGGGTTCAAATAAGAAAATATACACAAAGTGCTTTGGTCCAGAGCCTCAAACACAGAAGTGCTGACTAAATGTTATATACGACTATTCTTGCTATTAGTATTAATTATGATGATGGTGATGACGATGATGATGATGTGTAGGGGACAAACAGCTATTTTTAAAACCCAGCACTTTCTTCTTCCTGCTTAAATCATAATCCCAATCATAAAGACGCAGAAGCTGGAAATCCCACTGTTAGGTGACATTACAATCAGCTGCCGGTACAGAATAGAAGCTAGGGCTCCTCCTTGATGCAGACTCTCTTTATCTCTTTAAAAAGACCTTAATAGTCTTTTTAGTCACGAAATATGAGGAAAATCTATCTGTTGACCTTGGGTTGTCTCTGAACTAAACCAATAGCAGATGCTTCAAACTGAGATGTAAATTCTGTTTGATAATGAAGAAGGCTGTTTTCATGGCAGTCGGCGTAGGGCTCTTCAGAGAAAATATGATGTTAAGAGGTTTCTGCTTTCTTCGACTGGGGTGAGAAGGAGGCAGTAAGGCCATAAAATGATGCTTTCCCGGCAGTGAGCATGCCCCAGAAATGTGGCTGCAGGCCTGGGCCAAGAGACATGGGCAGATGGGCCCTGGGAGGAGGCATGACCTATGAACTCTGGAGCACTGACATCTGACTACCCGTTGAATTCTTCCTTTTCTGCCTGCAATTCACACATATTATTCTCAAGACTCAGAGAAAGGGTTAAACATCACAGCCTGTGTCAGCTGTGCTTGGATCTTAAAGGGAAAGGCTTGTGCCCATTCTTGGACCAGACAGAGTTGCCACCTGTGCTGGGCACAGAGGTGATTGAGAGTGCAGTTTGGGAGAGCGCCAGGCAAGAGGTGACAAATGTCAACCAGCATAGATCTGTGATGCAGTCAGCACAACAGGCATCCTCAAGACTCAGGAACCTTCCAAAGGCTCAAACACGGATTACTTCGTTATGACAGTATTGTTAGGATGAATATACCATAATGATGTTTTTATTGAAATAACAAAATTGTTCTTCACTACTTTATAATATTGATAATGTTATTGTATTTGTTATTGTTCTGTATTATTAATAAAACATCATTTAATTATAACAATAATTATTATTACACTTTCAGTACCCAGCTGTGTGGGCACTCTTCTTCCCCAAAATATCTTCTCCTTCAAATCTAAGACTATTAAATTGCTATAATAGAGCTTGTAAGAAATGCATCTACAATAAAGGTAAATAGACTCTGAAGGAGGGCTTGGAAGCATTTTCTTAACAATTAAATACAGGATCTTTAAGGATACACCAAGTAATATCTTACTTCGCTTGCTCAGGGCTTCTTTTTTAACAACTTCTGGCTCCCCAACTGTGTCTCAGATAGTTAAAATTGCCAAATTAGTGGCCATTTGGTAAATGGAACAACACTGTACAGTTTCCTCGGTGGCTTCTCCACAATTAAAACCTTTTCAGTAACGGTAAAAGGGGGCTTCTGGGTCTAAGAAATTGTCAAAAAAAAAAAAAAAACTGGAGAGACTTAATTGGTTGCCAAATTTATTTTGCGAAGTAAGGACATTTTTTAAATTACCAAATCCTGACAACATACAACAATTAAATAAAAGAAAACAAACTCTAGCGCCAAAAGAGTAAGAAGCAGATAATTCAGAATAAAGGATGATCCTTTGGGTGGAATCATTTTAGCTCTACGAAGATTTGCACACAGTTCTTATTTTTCTCATGTCACCACGAGGGAGTCAGCACTCCGGCAGACTAGCACCTGGTTTGGAGGTGTTCTTGGACACTTGGGGAGCTGTCTGGGAGCTGCTGGCCTGAAATAATTCCCACACAGTTCCCCAAATACATGGAAGATGGACTCAAGGAAGAGCTGTGGCCCGTTGCCCCTAGCCAGGTAGCCCTGTGAGGCATGGACATGAGATCTGCCTGCCATGTGCAGGGCCTACATTGTCAGCTAACCATTCCAAAAGCTTTCTTCCTGCTTTGATGTGTCTCTGAGTGTTAGGAGCCCTGAAAACTGCCCCTTTTAGGAGACAGGAAAATTGCCAAGTCGGGCTCATTCCATGGACTGAATTCCCATTTTTCCTGGCCCTAGAAATGCTGTGTCTGTTGGTAATTTTCATTCTTGGGTCACAGCTCCCAGGGGAGTAGGAGAAAGGCCAAATAGGAGAGAGAAGTTTTCAGTGTGTTTCTTCAGATCCTGGACTTGCTCCCTGGCTCTATTCACAGAAGGGCTGCCCTGCTCCGTCCTTCCAGATTCAATACCCAGACCTCAGCAATGGCGCAGGTAGCTGAGCTGGGAGGGCCTGCCCTATGCCAGCTTCAGAGAAACAATGCTGAAGCTGAAGTGCCCATGAGAAAGAGGAGGCTCTCTTTGTTAGAAAAGTAACCAGTGACAGAAGATTTTACTTCATGAGGTGGCTGAGTAAAAGCTTCTTTTACTAAAACCCATGACCCCCAAACAACTTTGAGTCACCTTCCCCCTACCTCCTGTTTTTATTTTCCAGCAGTTGGAAGAACTGCGGAGAACCAAAGGGATAAAGGTTGAATTCATCACCGATTCTTCCAGAAGCTTTGTCTTTCTGCTGACCTGAAATAATTTCCATACATTTTCCTAAATATATGGGAGTTAATTGCCAATTTGCATTCTGGTTTGAGTATTCAGATCTCAAGATGGAAACATAAGCTCTTTATTTCAAGAAAAAATAAAGGAAAGAAAACTTCTGAAGCTCATTTTCTAATGCCCAAAAGTCTTGTGGAGAATGAACTCAATAGTCTTTCTTCTCTAGTAGCCTCCTCAAAAACATCTTGGAGAAGAAGCTCTCCCTCCTCTGGTTCAGATTGCTTTATGTGATTGCAATTACATCAGAGAATTTCTTTTCCACCCCCTGCCACTCTGAATTGTTAATTCTTCCAAGGGTCACGGGATTTTAATTCTGCCTGATACGCCTCCTTGAAGCCAAACTTGACGTCAGCACTTTTTATAAGCAGGAAACTATGAATTAACACCCTGAATTTTCATGATGAGTCCCCCTTGTTTAGGCTCTGTTTGGGAAAATTCTTCTATGTCCTCTGACACTAGGCTGCACGCATTATTAATTTAAGTGTTTCAGGAACATCATCTGCTTTTACTAAAATAAATGACGAATGAGTTCTGGAAAGTGGCTTTGAGCGCCGCCCTAGTAGGCACAGTGAGGGGAAAATTCAGTGTCTGAAACACTAATTTAAATGCAAGTCTTAAAATGTGTGTTTAGCTATGACCCTAAAATCTGCTCGCCTTACAACTTTCCCCATCTGGTGCAATTTGCTTTCTCCACTTGTACAAATGCACACGACGGGGACAGCATGCAATGTGGGCCCCGCTGTAACAATGAGGCCTTGTCTGTCACAGACTTCATTGAGAGAAACTTACTTCTCATCTTGTCGTTACCCAGCTCCCAGCCTTTCCTCACATTCTGCGGTGGGGCTCTGCTCAAGCACCCATGCCCCAGCCCAATGTCACCGTGGAGAAAGGAGATGATGGAGCCGTACCTTGTACCCAGGCTTCCGCCCTCTTTTCTTTGGGATCTTCGCTGCTGGCAAAGAACCAGCTGAAGCAGAATAAAGGTTATGCACTGCCATCTTCATAGGTGTTGAGTGCAGTGGGGGTCGGCCTCGCTTTCTCCCCGGGATCCTCTGAGACTGCATGTCTGCTGGTGCCAGTCTTACAGAAGGAAGTGACAAATCGCTCACAGGCAGAAGAGGTGCTAAGAATTAGTCCAGACACAAAGCAAAACAAAAACAGAAGGGTTTGTTTGGTTTGCAAGGCAAACATGTATCCCATTTGGTGTTTTTGGCCATGCCTATCTTTTATTGGAGGGGAAGACCAAATACAAGACAGCCAGGCACCACTAGGAGTTTTTACAGTGCTGTTGGAGTTCTGGGATCATTTCAAGGAGAGCAAATTTCCACAGGGCTATAACGAAGCAGGGAAGATGATGTCTAGGTGGAGAGGACAATAGATTCCCAGCTCCAAACGCAACCGATAGTGCCGCCAGCAACGAGACGACTTTATCAATGCGTGTCTCCGTTTCCCCACTTCGTTCAACCTTGAAGTGATACGACAATAGCATTAGATAAATACAACTATTCCCTCACATTCGCTCCTGCCCCTTTGGTTGGGTTATAAATTGTTATGACCTTTATTTTTCCCATGGAAGGGATGTAACGGTACAAATCAATTGTATTAAAGTTATGTCCCTCGGTCAAAATGCGGATAGAGATTTACCTACAGAGATGTTCATTTTAGCAGGTTTTAGAATTGCGAAAATAGAATGGATGGAGCCCAAATAACAAGCAATAGGGGAATAGTTAACATTATCTACAGAACAAAACAATCACCTGGTTAAAAGTCTTTAACCATATTATTTCAACAACATGAGATTGAATGAAAAAGCGTCTCATAAATTGTGCTTAAAAGTGATCTCCACTATGCAAAAATGTATGTGGTAAAAGAGTGAAAGGAAATGACGTAAGTGGCAGAGACGGTAGAACTGTTGGTAATTGTTCGCTATGGACACATCCTTTCCCCCAAAGAGATACCCCACATGCTATAAAATTCATAGCATTAAAAATACTAATGATACGGGTCCCTGGGTAGCTTAGTCAGTCAAGCGTCTGACTTCAGCTCAGGCTATGACCTCACAGTTCATGAGTTCGAGCCCCCACATCAGGCTGACGACTCGGAGCCTGCTTCGGATTCTCTCTCTCCTTCTCTCTGTCCCTCTTCTACCTTTCAAAATAAATAAAACTTAAAAAAATATATACTAATGATAAGCTGTCTCAGATAGAGTTGACTACATCTTGCAGCAAGAGGGAGTTGATCAACTCCAACCCAGGGAGCTCAGCGGTATCATGAGCTCAAGGGTCAGATTTCCTTGAATGTTAAGAAATGTAACAAGTCGGACAGAAAGAACTCTACACTCTAACTCAGGGATGATGTTAGGTGACAAACTCATTTCTGAGGCTTAATGGTAGCCAACAGTTGGAAATGAGAAGCTTTTGCTCAAGAGGCCACAGGAAAAATTGGGAAAGATGATGGAAGCGGTCCCTACCCCCCAGGTCTGGGCAGCCACTGTAGGAACCAGATTGCTTTGCTCGGGAAGGAAAATATCAAATAGTGGATATTTGATATCCTAAAACATGACGGGAAATTTGGGGCATCTTTTACAAATGTCAGTTCAGTTTGTTAATTCTCTGAATATTAACGGTATCCACTCAATAATATTGATTGCTCTTGGAAATATCATACCTAGCACATAGAATTTTAAAGCATAAATTTGTTTATTGTTAGGTATTTCAGGTAGATAGACAAGCTGTTGAGGATGTCGATTTTCCTTGTTTTTGTGTAAGAAAAACACCATGTCTCATTGATTCTAAAATGCACACTTTTTTACAAAATAACATCTCTGAAATCACAATGCACCCTAAAGCATTGCAAGCACATCAAATTCTGTAAGGAGCAATTTTTCTTTCTTGGTACATGAAATAATGAGGTGTGATATTATCAAGGGCATCTTACAGTCAATGAATCATAATCAATGAAGATAAACCCATCAATATGTGAACAAAGGGAATCATTCCATTTCTAGACTTACTGTCAACATCCCCCAGTGCCAACAAATACCCCAAACACTCATTTTCAAAAAAGCGGCTTCCCAAAACATTGAAAACCCACCAAAATTTATTCAGTAAGATCTTTGCTGTGTGGAACTTGATCTGAGTCCCATTTTGAGCTATCATGATCAAGTGTCTGCTTCTCCATTTTTAGTTTACAGATTTTGGAAATGGGATTTCTTTTTCTAGTCTAGGACAGGTTTTTCTACCTTTCTACTTTGCCTCTAGGGACAAGGTCAGCGATGTATCTAACATTAAGATCAAAAGTCAATAAAAGAAAACCCAGGTTCAGAGAAGGCATTGAATCTCTTTCCTCCTGTTTTTGAAGGCTCAGTTGGCTGTGTTCCTTCCCTGGTGAATTGTGATCCTCTGCTAACTTAGATACTCCCTCACAAAAGTCTTCTTGTTGAATAGGTTTTGAAGAGTGAAGGATGGGTGACTAATTAGCATATTATCCTAAGAATTTGTATCACTCAGAATTATGCTGAACTATCCCCAAATTTCTCAGTATGTTAGAAAAAAATATTTCCTACAAAAAAAGCCATCTTTTTAAACAAATTTTTTAATGTTTATTTATTTTTGAGAGAGAGAGAGAGAGACACAGAGTGTGAGTGGGGGAGGGGCAGAGAGAGAGGGAGGGGGACACAGAATCCAAAGCAGGCTCCAGGTTCTGAGCTGTCAGCACAGAGCCCAATGCGGGGCGTGAACTCATGGACTGTGAGATCATGACCTGAGCCAAAGTCAGACACTTAACCGACTGAGCCACCCAGGCACCTCAAAAAAAGCCATCTTTTAAACTGAGCTTTTCTGTTGTTCTAATTCTCTTTCTCTACTGTGAGGAAAAAACAGGACTTGTGCGACTTTCCACTTCCTTACTTGAAGTGCATCTATCTTAGGGTATGAAGGAGCTTTCCTGAAAACTAAATCTGATTAATGAATTTCATGCTAGTGGAGCAACAGTGAACTATTATTTATTTTGTTTTTTTCAATGTTTTTATTTTATTTTATTTTTCGAGAGAAAGACAGAGCGTAAATGGGGCAGGGGCAGAGAGAGAGGGAGACACAGAATCCGAAGCAGGCTCCAGGCTCTGAGCTTTCAGCACAGAGCCAGACATTGGGCTCGAACTCACGAGCTGCAAGATCACAACCTGAGCCTGAGCTGAAGTCAGACACTTAACCAACTGAGCCACCCAAGTGCCCCAACAGTGAACTATTATTGGTGGCACACGAGGCACTACAGTAATTGGGGAAATACTTGGAGATGGTTCATCCACTGATCAAGAAGATACTATTTTTCAATTCCTTCTCACAGATCAATATTTTAATATGTGAGTAAATGCAATTTTAAGTAACAAGATTTTTTTATTTAAAATTTTTTTTTTCAACGTTTATTTATTTTTGGGATAGAGAGAGACAGAGCATGAACGGGGGAGGGGGCAGAGAAGGAGACACAGAATGGTCGAACAGGCTCCAGGCTCTGAATATCCAGCCCAGAGCCTGGCGGGGAGGGCTCGAACTCCGCAGGACCTACCCTTGTCATTGACCTGGCTGAAGTCGGACAACAACGACTTCATCACCAAGCCCAGGCCAAGGTACAAAACTGAAAAGTTACAATTATGTGGGGTTCTCTGAAAGTCTCCTTGGAATAATTTTAAAGAGTTAGGGGAAAACACAAAGTGGTATTTTAATAACAGACTCAGACACTTTGGAAATGATGGTGACAATAGTTCAGGGTCTCCAAAAATGTCCTTTTCCAAAACTAAGACTTGAACCAAAAAAAAAAAAAAAAAAAAAAAAAAAAAAAAAAGGAAAAATAAAAAATACTGAATACTTAATACTGAAAACAAGGAAGGGTCCCAATCTTGGAATGCAGGGGGAAAAAGGAAGATGGGATTTTTTTTTTTTTTTAGGGAGAACATAACTATGGAAGATAGACAATGACAATTTATCAGATGTTTAATGAAAATATCGAAACTAATAGAAAAGGGGGCGCCTGGGTGCCTCAGTTGGTTGAACCTCCAACTCCTGATTTCAGCTCAGATCATGATCTCACAGCTGGTGAGATTGAGCCCCACGATGGGCTCTGCCCTGACAGCACAGAGCCTGCTTGGGATTCTCTCTCTCTTTCTCTGCACCTCCACTGCTCACATTCTCTGCCTCTCTCAAAATAAATACATAAACATTAGCAAAAAACTAACAGAAAAGGAAAATACTCAAACATATATTAAGAGGCTGTCTTCCATAATGAGGAGGCTCTCTGTGTCTGAAGAAAAGTTCTTTAAGAATAAAGAACAGCAACAAATCCTAATGAAAATAATACACTCTTAGCTTTCTATGGCACCCTGAGCCAGAAAAACAATGGAATTACCATAGTGACTTTTTTCCCCCGGGTGTTTATAGTTGCCAAAATTCCTCCCACCACAGGGCCTTTGCATATGTAGTTCCTTTTGACTGGAATGCTCTTTCTTCTTCCTCAGTTTACTCCTCTCATTTTTCATCAGTTAGGTCACAGAAGGTTATTCTGACCTCTCATTTGATTTCCTGAGCTTAGAGTTCCTCAGCTGTGACACAAACCCACAGCATGTACATCATCGCCATGGAACTTGGACAAGGGAAACAGGTGGGAACATGAAGACAAACCACCTGCTGTGCCTCTGGACTGGGAGCCATTTTTCTTCTACCATATCCATGACATTGTGGTAGGCTGACCTGTTCGCTTGCAGAGGATAAAAATCTCAGACCCTTCATAGTTCTTCATGAAATTCAATAAGTAGGACTTACAAGAAGAAAATAATATTTTTTTTTTAAAAATCCTACTTATGCCTTAAAATAAGATTTAAAAATGATTATTCTGTTATTGGACAGATGGGTATTTCTGAAGTATAATTTTCACCTAAATCATTCTATAAGTGCAATCACATTACAAATCCAAACAGACTTTAAGAAAAGAAGGACAAAACAAAGGCCACCGGAGACTTGCCCCCCTGGTTTCTAAAGTATATTATAAAACTGTAACACTGGCAGCAGTAAGG